GTTAACTTTTTATATATGTTAATATTTCTATTATTTTATAACAATTGTCATCACATTACATTCAATTAATTAATTGAAATTTATAGTGTAAAGCAACAACTAACGAACCAACTGTATTTAAGCACTAATACAGCTACGGAACATCATTCCTTAAATAATAAATTATTAAAGACAAGAACGTATACACGAGCTCTAATGATGTCAACCCTTCAACATCTAATCACATCAAAGGCAAGCGTACAACTGCTTCAGTACTTCCTAGTGAAGAAAAGTGACAAGATTGATTAGATATATTATAAGGATATATAGTTGATTTCATGTCTTTGGTGGGAATGATAAAGTTTATCCCTGTTGACGTGGCAACACCGCATCACCAAAGCAAAGCTGCAATTTTTAACTTTTTCAATGACACGTCAACAAAGTAAAGTCATAGTTTTTAACCAAAAATAAAAAATAAAAATTGGTTGACTCGCTAACGTGCCACGTCAACTATGGGTATTATAAACCACTACCCACTAGGATGAAGAGATGATTTCTATATAAATATATATTAATACATAATGATCTTCATACAGAATTAAAGCAGGTACCTTTATTTGGGATATGGGAATATTGTCCAGAACACGCGGCCTAAAAAATGTATCATATAAACCTCCATGAAATAAAACCACGCTCTTCTCCAGTGAGGATTTATATATAGAACTGTAATAATGCAAAGCACTGCAGATATATAAGATATTGTGAAGCTTATGTAGAAGATCTCCATGTCCATGAAAACACACTCCTCACTTTCATCATCAGCAGATGTCAGGACATGCGTTGGTTCGGTGCTCGTGCAATCGACAGGTAATGGGCGACCACAAAGATAAGGATTTCCCTGATAGCTTCCTTCATCAAATGTTCCAAATTGACCTTTATCTGGTATCATACCTGTTAGATTGTTATAAGCCACACTGAAGACTGCCAAAGCATTTAACTCACTCAAACCAGTGGGGATCCTCCCACCTAAGTTGTTATAGGAGAGATCTAAGCTCTCTATCTGAAGTAGGTTTGAGAATGTTGCTGGAATTGTTCCAGTAAGATTGTTGTGGGACAAGTTGAGTGCATGGATCTCACTTAACTTTCCAAGGCCATCCGGAATTTCACCATATAATTTATTAGAAGAGAGATCAATTCCTGACATGTAACTGAGGATGCTACCTTTGTAAGAATAAGAATTTCCCTTTGTCACGAATGTCACTGTAATTGGTACATCAGTTAATTTGAAATCTTCAGTTTTGTGGAAAGACACGTGATAGTCCCTTTCTAACTCAACCTTATCCATGTAAGAAATGAATGAAAAAATTGAAGAGCTGATAAATTCCAGAACCAATACAGACTTCTTCGTGGTTACCTCCAGCGTAATGTTACCAAAGCAGAGCGGAATTTGACCCGAAAGACTATTGAAAGAAAGGTCTATCATGCTTAGTTTTTTCATCTCACAAAATTGGTGAGGGATTATGCCTTCAAAATGGTTACCTCTGAGAAGAATAATGCTCAAGCTTGATAGATTGCCAATCCATTGAGGGATACTTCCAGTGAACTTATTCTCTCTAAGATCCAATGACACCAAAGAAGAGCTATTATGAAATGCATATGTGAGCTCACCTTCCAATTGGTTATCGTTCAGATAGACATGACTTATGCTTGATGGATTGAAGCAAGATGGAATTGAACCAGATAACTTGTTCTTAGATAAATCTAAGAGGCCAAGAGAATCGAGATTGCAAATTTCCACCGGGATCGGACCCGCAAGCTGGTTATTAGACAAAGAAACTTGCTCCAATCTTGTCATATTACCCACTGATGAGGGAATTATGCCAGACAAATGGTTGTTACTAATGTCTAACACTACTAGAGGGCTGGTAGACAAGCTACTTGGTATGGTGCCCGAGAAATCATTGCCCTCCAGATATAAATATTTCAAGCTTGGTAGGTTGGTAGATTCTGGAAATATTTGTCCTTGCATTTTATTATCCGATATCTTGAAAAAAAACAAAGAAAAGCATCCCATACCTAATTCTTGCGGCATCATGCCTGTCAAGTTATTGACCGACAAGTCTATAAATTTTATAGATTTTAAGTCACCGAAACTAGAAGGTACAGACCCATCAAACATATTTGTTGACATGTTTAATGCAACCAAATTTGGAAAAGCTGAAGCTATGTTAGTCGGAATATGTCCATTTAACTTATTATTAGATACATCGAAAGTCTCCATGTTGGGATTGGTGCTTGATGATAACTTGAGAGGTCCTGTAAAAGCATTATCACTCAGGTAAAGTCTCCTAAGTCTTGTATTGTTCTCTAACAACCAAGTTGGAAAATTCCCTTGAATGTTGTTCTTTGGGAGATAAAGAATTCTCAAGTTGGATTGATAGTAAAAGAAGTTGGGTAGTGTTGGAAGGCCTCTAGAATTTGACATACTAAAAACCTCTAGTTGAAACTTAGGAACCCAATTTCCCAACTCATTTTCATTTATTATTTCATTGTTTTCCAAAAATATGAACTTCAAGTTTGAATGATTAAAGAATGCCTTGAAAGAAATTGGAACTGTAAAGTTATTACTTGATATGGAGAGATATTCTAGGGATGTGAGTTTGGAAAGTGGAGATGAGGCAATATTTCCAGTCAACTTATTGTGAGAAAGTTCAATTAATCGAAGAGATGTCATATTTGCAACACATGTAGGGAGTATTCCTTCGTACTCATTCCAACTCAGATTTAACTCTTGGAGGTTTTTAAGGTCACACCACCCTGCAAATCAAACAATTAAAATTACCACTCCAAAACCTATCGTACTGATAGGGAATATAAAGGCTTTGCTTATAATAGGAAAGCAACTTTTTGTGCCCAAACTTACTTTTTAAGGAAGAAAGTTACTTTTTAAGAAGTGAATTTTTTTATAGAAGAAAGATGGCGATAAGCTAATTATTTTGAATGTAATTCGTATTTTACTATATCAAAAAAAAAAACTTACTTATTTCCACTATAACCAATAAAATAAAAAACTATAGGCTGTAAAACTTAATTACTTTTTAAGTAAATTTTTATGGTTAGCCTAACCGCTTTATATTATATTAATTATAAAATGCAAATTGACGAAGTTAAATACTTCTTTTGTTACAAACTTATGTTTTAATTCATTTTATTAAGTCACAAACTTTTTTTCCTATATTCGATATTGAAGCTATCAATATCAACTTGTGTTTTCTGTGAAGTATTATAGTAAATCAACCGTGTGATTAATAAGCTTTCATTAACCAAAAATTCAGCTGAGACGAAAGGAAAATTGCAAAATTGTGAAAATAAAAATACTCGAAACAATTTATTAATCAACATGCAAAGTCATGGAAAACATTGTTTACCAAACAAGCCGTTGAAGTTTACCTCGAATGGGAAGGGTGCCATTGAGTCTGCATCTAGGCAAAGATAAAATCTTGAGGAATGTCATAGCTCCAATACCTTGTAGAAAGTTTCCATCCACGGCAGAACTGTCCAAGAACAACTTCTCTAGCGTTCTTAAAAGTCTCAACTCTTATACACGAAAGAAACGGAATGTGCATGAGAACTGGAGACTATGCATACTTTTGATGTCTGAAACGGAGAACTCTCCAGTGTAATATTCAAGTACAAGCGTATAAAAGCTCATTATTCAGAAAATAGAATAATGAAAAACTTAGCAGAGTACCTATTGGAGTTGTGAAGTTGTCGATCTCATTATTACTTAGATCAAGCTCCTCCAAATTACTCAAAGCATGTAAATCTAGATGGAGGTAGAGAAATAAACATGTACAAGAAAAATGTGAATATAGAGATTGAAAACTCAAAAAGAAAAATAAGGAGTTCTAAATTGTAGAACTAACCTTTCATTTGGATGGTTCCTTTTAGTCCATTCCAAGAGAGATCTAGAGACTTGAGTGATGATAGCCCGTGAAGTGAAGAGAAAATGCGATTATCGAAGTTATTTGATTGTAAATTAAGGACCTTCAAATATTTTGGACCTGAACCAAATCCACAATAAGTTGTAATAATATCTATAATGCAATGCAATCAACAACAAACTAATATTTTAGTGAAAGGGGAGGAGCCAGGAGCAAAATAACACGAATGCTTCAGCTCATACATACATACTAAGGCAGAAGTGAAGAAAGAAAAGGAAATTAACATAGAATGAATTCATATCAACATCATGGATAAAGAATGAACTGAGATGACATACCATAAATGGTACCCGAGCTTGTAAATTGATTGTCACTTAGGTCGAGCTTCTTCAAATTGATAAAATCATTTAGATCTATGAAAAAAAAATTAAAAAATGATATTAAAAGATGATAACACTATAGTCTTCCCTGACCTAAAAGCAATATATCACGCTTGGGAAAAGAAGACTCACTTAGCACCGATAGAATGTCGCCATCGCTAATATCATTATTACCCATGAAATCAAGAACTTCTAGCTTGTTTAATCCGAAGAGTCTTTCACGACCTACACAATGATATTTTTTAAAAAATAATAATATGTTTCGTCAAGTTACACAAGCACAATGAACGGGAAGCATGAAAATAATATTATGGCTTTTAGTATAGTGTATTACAATATTAAAGATTAAAAATGTCTTATTTGTTGTATTGTCTAAGTACCAAACATGCCCTTAATCTTTTACATTTGAATTACTGGGGTTTAGCGCTTTTAATAACTCATTACGACAAACATATATATTTAGTAATGCTGAACTTATTAGGAAGGACAAATGGCAAATCTTTTGAAGAAATTGGCATAATTTTCATGCTACAGTATTGTAATTAGATTTATCAAAAATGAAAACACGACGAAAATATAAAAGATCGGTTCAATTGATTTTTTGATATATACTTATAATAGAGGAAACTAAAGATTTTGAGAAATCGTTTATCTTATACTGCAGCAAGAAAACTTTTAATTATTGAAATAAGTTGATTTATTTCCAAAAAGTTGATTTTTAGACAATCACATGATCTATCAAAGAACCACCAAAATACATAGTGTATTTAACTTACTATTGCCGTAATTTTTTCTCCTTAATGAGTTGTATCTAAATCCCAGATACTTGAGAGAAGAAAGCCGATTAAGAGATGACAAAATTTTGCGATTGAAAAAATTGCTACTCAGATCAAGGGCCTCCAAATTTCTCAATTTTGACAATCTATCAATACCTGCAACAAAATTTAATATATCTATATTATCGCTCAAAGAAATAGGAATGATAAAATTGAATCAAAATAATAAAATAGAATCAGTTGTCCGCCTAATTAAGAAGAGATGACGGCATACCTTCATTCTCAATCCATCCTACTAAATTATTCCCCTCTAAAGAGAGATTTATGAGCTCGTCAAAAGGAAGAAATAGAGAGGCATTTAAATACCAATCTCCTAATCTCCGAATCCTTGCGTAATAAAGATTAAGTTCGATTACTCGTGCAGTGATATTGCTGCATTTAACTTGTTCCCATTGACAACAATCTGACGCAGTCTCATTATCCACCCACGAAGGTAGCGATTCTCCATTTGGGAAGTTCATATTTGCTTTGAGGTTCAAAAGAGCAACCCTCTCTTCCTCCCAACACCCTAAACAATAACCTCTCTTCCTCCCAATAGCCTAAACAATACCATCCATTTAGCACCATCATCACTATCATTAACTGTAACTTAGTTCCCATCTTTCTTTACTACTAAGCACCAATTCTTACTATAAACAAGGTTGCAAAGTCTAACACAAATCATCAATTCCCAGTTAAACTCTCAAATAGAATTTCAATTAGAATTTACAAATAGACTTCAACTAGAATTTCTAAGTCGACTTCAAATAGAATTCTCAAATATTCTTTCAAATAGAATTCGAGTTATACCCTAATTCTAACAGCGTTGTTAGTGGTGATTTGGATCACTAAATGTTAACTGATTTATTTATTTATATATGAATTGTATTTTTAACAAGAATGACACAACCGTTTGTCTAACCATTAGTATGTGCTTCAAATTTAGAATCTATTTGATAAGAATTAAAATCAATTTTTTAATAAATTTTGATAAATGTTATTGTTATTTGAAATACGTGATTAAACATTGTTAATTTTAACTTAAATTAAAGTTGAATTGTAATTTCTACAAAACAAGGACTTAATTATTATTTATATTGTTCTATAAAATTTTTAATTTTTTTTTTCATATTAATGCGTATAATACAAATGAGTATTGTATCCCCCATTGCAAATTGTTTTAAAACTTGTGCCTAGAATGCAAAATAGAGAATGTCTATATAAATATCAATGTCATATACATTTTTTTTTTTACTATATTATATATATTGATTGTCTAGTAATTTGTAGTTAAAGTTTCAACATATAATTTGTATAGCATTTTAGCCTATGTTTAGATTTCATTTTTTCTACTGACCGCATATTTCATGAAAAGGAGTTTATTTTGAAAAACAAACTTTAATATTCACTTATTCAAATAAAAATAACACTTCATTTCTTAAAGTATTACCAAAAGTTGTTAAAAAGTTTAAAGGTGTTCCATTTGGTAAGGAAAAAGGTGAAAGAGGTGAAAGAAAGAAGCTGTAAAATGTCCAGCAAGTGGTTGGAAAATAATAAATTTTGGGCTTTTTTAACATTAATTGGTCTAAGGAGTTTTGTTTTTTTCAATTAAAAAATTAACATTGGTTTGTGATTGGACCTTTTTTGGCCAGTTTTTCTACAGCTATTATTTTTTAGGGTTTTAATTCATAATTAAACAGGTTTATTATTCGGTTCATAGGCTTTTCCGTTGAACTGATTGGTCTAGTCCAATTTTGACAACATTAATTTTAGTTAATCTAATTAAAATTAATTACTGGAAGACAGTTTGGTGGAGCATATTGTGGTTAAAAAAAAAATTAAGATCCATTACCAATGGATGAATTTTTACCGGGGTAGACTTGTTTCCATTTGCCATCCTAGTTTACCGGGGTAGGGGTGAATTTATAACCACCATTTACTACGCTATTTTATCTCTTTAGTTGTTGCTTTACTTGACTAGGTAAAACACTTCACCTGGATCTTCTCCACGGCATACACAGTGAGTATTATAATAGCTTAGCTTTCATTTGGAATTCAATTCAATATCAGAAAAATATATACGTAAATCAAATCAGTGGTAATGAAGAAAGTAATCGGCTTGGCGAATGTGGTACTCAACAAGTTTAAGGATGCATTGATGTCTTTTATCACAACTACGTCTATTTTTCTGGATATGCCACTGGGATTCGCCGTTATGCTATTTCTCAGAATAGATCATATGGATACGAATTTTTTAAATCTTTCAATCCTTTTTTCTTCGATATTTCTTATCAGATTTTCGAGGTTAAGGTCTTTAGGAGTTATGCCAAAGAATGGAAACGTTGTAGAGCGTTGGAACCTTTTTGGTGCATGGATTGTTGGAGATATCCTCCCTCCGACTGGGCTCGGATAGTACCGCCAATTGTTCAGGATGGGAGAGCACCAGCAACGACAAGATGACGTTCAAATTTAAATATTAATCAGACTTTTGTCGTAAACGTGTCGGTGAACCGTCCAAATAGTTGGAATTGCAAAGTTCGGATCATCTGATGAAGTTTGCCTGCCAACAAAATCAAGTTCCTGGGTGATGATGGTATTGAATACTTATTGAATCATTTTTCCATTAATAAAATTTTCATTTCCGTTATTCAAGTTTTGAATTATATAGACTTACTGAATATTGAAGATTATAAATTAATTATTAATAATTTAGATGATAAAATTTCCTAGTTCTTCTAGCTTAAATGAACCTAATCAAAGTAGGCTGCTCTAATGGCCAGATTCAAAGGTTATTTTTCAACTATAAGACCATATGATCTTAAAATGGAAATTCTCTTTAGTTGTTGATCCTTTAACAATTAAAAATTTCTCATTCATTTCCAATAACATGACATTTTGTCCAAAAAAAAAATTGAATTTGTGGGCTTTAAGTTGTGATTTATCATTTTCAGACAGTTCAATCTATCTAAATATCTGGACAATGAAGTCCAGTGCAACCGTTTGACAATTCTAAACATCAAAATTATGCTATGGGATGTAGTGTCTCGACAATATGATAATTTTAAATGTATAGAATTCCATATTCTAAATTAACGTTAGCTTGACAATGTATATTTCAAATATGGTCGGAATTATTTATATCTCACAATGGAGTTCTAAGAAAGATGTTGAATGAAATGACATGACACGACTGCAACATTGCATCAACAACTTTTTGTGCATTGGTGTCTAAGGGTGTTTTTGATTGTCAATATTTTCCATGGAAAATGTCTTTTTTTCATTCAAATTCTGACTTTTGTGCCCTACTTTTTATCACGTGACTAGATTTTTCACGAAAATAGGGAAAATATTTTCTAAGGTTGAGGTAGATTTTAATTTACAGGCAATTGGCAATTATCCTCTAAAACTGAGCACCCACTAATCACGTTACCCACCCACCCTCTCTCTCTCTCGCTCTCTCGCTCTCTCTCTCTCGTCAATATCATCTCCTCACAAGGATTTCGTCAACATTTCCTTCCCCATTCAACACCATGCTTCATCAATTCCATTGAATTATTTTCTGGGCATTCTTGATTCTCGGCCAATCAATTCATAATCTTGGTATTTCTCATTTTCTCTATTTTAAGTTCTTGTTTTGGGTATTGATTATTTGATTTATCAGCTAAAATTTTGGGTTCGTTCATCCCTGAAATATTTTGTGTAATTTCTTGTTCCGGGTTTTGATTATTTGATTTTTATACAGGTCAACTGTTTTGGGTGGAATTGTGGGTTTCGATTAATTGTTAATGTTGTGCTCTGTCATTTCCTTTGGATTCTATTTCTTCAGTTTTGGGCATCATTGAACTTTTACTCTGTTGTAGAATCACATTGATCACGGAAGAGAAAGTAATTGTCCCGTAGGATAAGTTAATGCAAATGAAAAAAATGCTATGCAACATATTATTGCAATTTTCATATTAGACGTATCTAATATCTGTGGTTGCTGGGGATCAGATTTTTAGCTTAGGATATGTTTTGGTATAACTGGGTTGCTGGGGATATCATTGCCCTTGCATTTACCTATGGCATTATCCTATCCATACTTAAATTCTTGGAAGAAGCAGCGAAAACGGAGCTCTTCGACTTGGTCTGCTTTTATGTTCTTTTTCCTGCATTGAAATTACTGCAAATTAAGAATACCAGAGTTTATTCCTTTCTTATTACATGCATTCTTTGTTATTTATTATTTATTTTTGGTGTGAGGGATTAGAATGTACTTAGGAAGCTTTGTCATGTTATAATTGGACTAAATCTGATGCTATCACAAGCACATGAAGAGATAGACTTTTAACAAAATATGAAGGAACTGAAAGACAATATGATACTCGTGTGGCCCAGCAGATGCATCAACAGAAACATCCCACTTGAACAGAATTTAATTTGAATGATACATAGCCTTATAGTAAGTAATCCGCATATATGCATAATAGATCAAATCAGACCTTGAAAATTTGTATAGAGAAAGTGACATGCAGCAGACCTTGACATATAAAGTAGAATAGAAGAGTATTTCAAAAATAATTTTCCAATAGAGTTCAACTAGATTAAATCTGAAAAATATGTAGAATGCTTAGAGGTAAATAATAGAGATGCTGAAATTGAGCTCTAAAATTTCTAGAAAAGAGTCTTAGAGAAAAACTGTCTCACCTATCCCTTTAGGATGGAATATAGCATCAGATTAAAAATCCAAAAATCCAATCAATAACCAATCAAAAAGAACAAGGTAACATCTCAGTAATCTATCACACTGAAATATATATATATGTTTGTTTTATATTCAAAGGGCTAAATTAATTATTTTTGTCTAGTATAATTAAAATATGTAATGTACATGGTTTTTCTATTGAATATTTACTTAATACATGGTAGTAGGTAACATGGCTACAACAAGGAATCAACGTAGACGCCAACGACAACATTTGGGTTTATTTTGGACGATGGTCACGCAGGCGATTGTGCTATACACCGATATTAGACATCGTGAACGACATGTCCTAGGGCTCCTCATAGAAATTGGGATTCTGAAAGACAAATGACACTTACACGGATGTTTGGAACGAGTGATAGAACATGTCGTGATCTACTTAGGATGAAGATAGGTTCTTTTCCAAGATTTTGCGCTCGTTTGAAAACATATGGATTGGTTGATAGTAAATATGTTCGAATTGAGGAACAAGTGGCAATTTTTTTGTACACGGTCGGGCATGACCAACGTAATCGAGCGGGATGTTTTACTTTCTTCAGATCTGGTCAAACATTGAGTTTTTACTTCCATAGGGTCTTACACGCTTGTCTTGGATTGTATAAAAATGTTGTGATTAATGCTACTATTCAGAACTTACCATACGAGAAGGAAAATATGAAGCCATGGTACTCCTTTTTCAAGGTTAGGAAAGTACTTATTGTAATGTATTTTTTAAAAGTTCAATATTCTAACATTTTGAAAGTATTCTTTTTTAAAGGATGCTGTAGGGGCAATAGATGGTACACATATTGTTGCAAACGTCCCCTTAGAGGAGCAAGCTAGGTACCGGAATAGAAAGCAAGTGATTTCTCAAAATGTTTTAATAGCTTGTACATTTGATATGAAATTTACTTATGTGCTTGCTGGTTGGGAGGGATCCGCACATGATGGTCGATTGTTAAAGAGTGCAATATTACGCCACGGACAAAAGCTAACAATTCCTTTTGGTAAGTTGTATCCCTATTTTGAAAATCTAGTTTCTCATACAAATGACAATAATTAAATAATAACTATGTCATGGACAATTCTTTAATAGGTAAATATTATCTTGTTGACGCTGGCTTTCCATTGGTTTCGGGGTTTCTTGCACCATACCGTAGTACACATTATCATCGTAGAGATATTGAGGGTCAACGTCCTAAAAGTAGCAAAGAATTGTTCAATTTTCAACATTCATCTCTACGTAATGTTATTGAGAGAACAATTGGTTTGCTTAAAAAAAATTTGCATATTTGAGACATCAACCCTACCACAACATTGACACACAAGCAAAGATTGTCCTTGCTTGTTTTGCAGTCCACAACTTCTTAAGAGTTGATGATGTAGAAGATGTTTGTGATGAGGACTTAGATAGCAGCGATGATGAGGTTAACCCTACACATGTTGATGTACCTGAAGATGAAACTCCGAACGCTCAAATATCTTTCATAGCTCATGAAGCATGGTCTAACAAGAGGAATACAATTGCTGATTTAATGTGGCCTGATTACCATCACAACCAGAATGCGACAGTTGATTTCGAATGAATATTGTTTTATAGTTATGTTCTTATATAGTGGACTTAAACTTAAACAGAATTTCATATTTATCTATTGTTGAAATTGAATACATATTGTTCTACAATCTTGAATGTTGTAACTGGAATTGCTGTTATTGGAGACAAATTGTTAGATATATATTGTTTGACATGTTCTTATGTAATGGTTGGCTATAAAATTATAATCTTGCATTCTAGATTTCATGGCACATAATCGACAAAGCTCTTCGGTACCTTTTCGAGTTCTTCGACCAACCACCCATTCAGATGTGGAGGAACTAAGCTCAACCTAAGTAGATCCTAATTCTAGGACTCGCCATGTACGTTGAAGTGATGCAATGGATGGTTGTATGATAACTGCACTATTGCATCAAGTGTTGTCTAGTCACAAAAGGAATGACAACGGCTTTTCATCATTTCATGTGTCCAAAGCAATTGAGAGCATGTACAATGGATGCGGAGTCGTGGTGTCAGATAATAATGTAAGGGCACGATTGAAGACGATCAAAAAAAAATATCTTGAAGTTCGCCAGTTGTTAAGTATGAGTGGTTTTGGGTTGGATCCTAGCAATGGACGTGTCACAGTTGATATACTAGCTTGGGAGGAGTATCTGAAGGTATTATATTTCATTGACCAATGAAATTATTAGTCATTACAATTTAGTAGCGTATTTTCTATTGGATATTCACTACGCATATAACATTTCTCCCATCTCTCTGTTTTTGTGTAGGGAAAACCGGAATTCGGAAAGTGTTTGCCCTCGTGATGATGATTTGGAGGCTATCTTTGGAAATGATTCTGCTACATGAGATCGCGCTGTAACCGGCAATGACAATTTCTCCCCCATTCATGGTATGTAAAACATCGTAAATAATAATATATACGATCTATATTATATCAAAGATTCTAAAAAGTTCTTTAAAAAAAAAAAAGATGAAAATGTGAATGAAATTGATGGTCAAAATGATTTCATGGATCAAAGCGAAGTTCGTGCTCCTAAGCGTAATGTTGAAGGAGGAATCAACAAAATTCGACGTCGACGTATCCAACCCAATGATGAGAGTCTCATTGCCCTATCGAGCATTGCCGAATCGTCTAAAAAAATTGCTAATGCTATGGAGATTCAAGCTACGTTAGATACGCTACACCACATCAATTGGCAATTGGTTCTGGAAAAATTACAAGGCATGAACTTAGACAAGTGTGACGTAATGCAAGTCATGAAAGTATTTCAGTTGGACGAGAGTCTAGCTAGAGTATTTATGAGCTTGACTGATAAAGAATTCATGCGGTATATGGTATATGAGAAGCTTGGTCGTGATCCACCTCCACTACTTTAGGATAGCGTGCTTGGATAATTTAACAACCATATGCAAAAGTATGATATCAATGTTGGTTTGAATTGCTACTTTCTTACAATAGAGATTTTTTGGTTTTCTTTTATTTGTTTTTGTTGACACACAAGCGAAACAGTTTTAGTTGATCCGTACTATGTTGGACAAACTTTGTTCATTAGTCGTTGAATTGATTTTTTGGTTATCTAATAATTGGATAATGTTTTAAGGTTTTCACTTGATCAAAAATTGTGGAGGGCACCAAATCTTTTGAGACAACGGATGTGAAAGTTACGGAACCCCATAAATAAAAGTGTAATTGCATCGATTGTGTGTTTTCATGGATTTCTTTCATGATACGAGCCACCTCAATATAATATTCAACGATTTGTTCGAGTGTTTGTTACATATTAAATTTATCTTGCATCAGAATTATATTTGTGTAGAGATTGAAGGCAGCATTGAACAATACTTCTAAAAATTGATAGAATAATTTTCATAGAAAATTTACAATTTCCATGGAAAAAATGGCAAATTCCTTGGAAAATAATGGCTATCAAACAGCAAAAGTTGGAAAAATGATTATTTCCATGGAAAATAATGATTATCAAGCACCAAAAGATGGAAAAGGACAATATTTTCTAGGTTGAAAATTAAGTCAATCAAACACATTTAATTGACATTTTCCATGCAAATAATTTCTAGGCAATTCAATTGCTTAGAATTTATTTTCTTTCCATGTAAATTTTATGCTTGCAATCAAACGCACCCTAAAAGTTGGAAAATGGAGTTTCCATTCTTCATGGAAAATGTGTGCTATCAAACGGGGCTTTAGTTAAAAGATTTCAACATGGTTTTGAATTTATAAAATATAGTAATGATTACTGTAATTTTCAATATATTTAAGTGGAAAAATAAGAGATCTCTTCAACACTTTTACTTCTGGAATTGAATTTCACGAACACGTAAAATCATCTGAATAATGCTGGTGGCTATAACTACTTTATGGTTCTTAATTTACAACCGCAAAAACTCCTTTCACTGAACAAGTTTTTCTTTTACGTTTATGAGAGAGTAAAGTGTATAACTGAAAGTGTGTAGCATATGGAGAAGGAGAAGTTAAATAAGCTTCTGTAAAAGCTTTAAGAGGAATGAAATACATTTCCAACCTGATAATAGATAATTACAATTTATAGACTCTATATGTTTACTTATAAATATTTTTAGTAAGATTAATAAGATATTTTCTACCACAAAAAAAAATAAAATAAAATATTTAATCCATTGGCTCACTTTGTCATTTTATTTTGTCTAGAAGAAAAGATGGACCAACTTTCACGAATTTGCAAGCTAGTGTGCAAATGTTTCAGTATCTATCAGAAAATAACTTCAGGTGTTTTTCCTATATGTTGGTTTTGTTTTTGAAACAACAACATTCAGTTCTACTTCCATGCTGGTGATTTCAAGTGATTATTCATTTTTTTCCCTCAATTCTTTATTATTTGTTGGATTTTTATTTTTAAAAGCTTAAAATAGTTTAAAACTACTAACGACATTTCCTTTGTGTTTGTTCATCTTCATTATTGTTTTTTTTTTTTATAGTTAACCTTGTAAGAAGAAAAAATTTGAAAATTGTGCAACCAAACGTCATTGACATTTCCTTTAGTGAAATTAAGATTTTATTTGGCTAATGTGTAGCTAAAGTCTATTAATCTATCAACTTTTGCCCTTATATGGGAGGGAATGAACACCTTGCCAATCGTATGGAAGGAGTGGGCTCGTGGGAATTTTGTATGTAACATCATAGGGATATGTACTTTAAGAAG